CAATGGAAGGGTAACTGATGTGATACAGCAATTTGTATACGGGGTAAAAGCGGGAGTTCATAATCCACTTGAATCAAACCATGTAATATGATGTATTAAGAACTATGTAATGTTATGAACGACCAATAAAAAAAAATAAAAAATAAAAAAAAAGAAAAATGTTTTAGGAAATAATATGTTGTTGAATCTGCAGAGCTTCTCCACTCAGTGAATGTCCTATTGAAATATCTGGCTTGTGCTTTTGAATATTGGATTGCCAATGTGTTCTGAGTTTCCCTTATTGACTTATTTTTTTTATCTACCTCAGAAAACAACACTTTTTTTTGCACATGTAAGTGGAGCTGTACTCACCTTTGGTATGGGCTCATTATATATGTTTGTTCAGACCATCCTTTCCTACCAAATGCAGCCCAAAATTCATGGCAAACAAGTCTTCTGGATCAGACTACTGTTGGTTATCTGGTGTGGAGTAAGTGCATTTAGCAGTATCCTTCACTGTAAAGTGTGGCTATATTTGGAAGAGGATTGAATAACAAAAATTAAGTGRACACTATTGGTGCACAATGTAAGCAACTTTTTTGTGTGTATGTGTGGGAGGGAGTCTTAGGTTATTAACCCTAAACAAACTAAAGGACTGTAAATATAAAACTCAGTAACTGAGCCAAAAAATTAAGGTAATGTTTAGCCTGATCATTCTCACTTTAAAGAATTGAAGGATGCCCTCCCTGTGACATCTAGTAGAAGTTTATGATAGAATTATAGTTTCTGAGCAAAGAGAGAAGGGATCTACTATGAGGACTGATTTGTGGTGATCATCTGGGCACATTTTGAGTTTTACTACTGCCACGTGACATTCAATCTTTAAGAAACTTGGTTTGGACTTTGGCAACAAATATATGAGTTATCCTGTTGGACCTTCAAAGTGATTTTTGTTTTGGATCTAATTTAAATTTACAGGTCTTCTCTGAGATTCTTCCTTGACTTATTTTTTAATAGTGCTGACTTGCTCATCAATTTTATACAGTGGGGATTTTGGCACTGATTTAGTACAGAAACTCCACTGGAACCCTGAGGACAAAGTAAGAACTTGAATCTTATAAAACTTAGTTTTATATTAAAGATGACTCTTCGGGTTGATTTTGATGTATTTTTCATTTTATCACTAACCAATGAGACTTCTTTAGTAATCAATTATGAATTGGGATTTTTTTCTAGATATGATATAGTTTATGCAGATCCTTGTGATATATGGATATTTTTAAGACATGTAGAGAATTATAATGGCAAATGTGTTTTCTCAGAAATTGCCCTAAGTGTGGATACAGTATACCCAACTGGGATTTTTCTGTTTTTAAAATACTTGTTTTCTGAACTGAAAAGTGTCTTCTCCCACATTTCATTATTTTGTTATGTTTTCTGGAAATTTATTACAGACATTTGTAGATATTTATGTGGAGAAAGTATCTTTGATCCTGAGAATAAAAGAGAGGAGGGATATATAACTAAGAAATAAAAGGAGTTTACCTGTTTTCACAAACTACTGAGCAGCATTTTATTTTAATCTGTTTTATAAGTTTCAGCCCTAAATAGGGCATATTTGTGGGAATGAATGAAATGACTTATTAGAGTCTCCTAATTGCAATCTGTATATTATCTCATACTCTAAAAATAGCCCTTACTAAGTTTATGTTGAACATTTAAAAACTTTTCTTAGTAGCATTTTATGAATCTTATGACTTTGGGAAGTAGTAACTTTTTGGTTGTAGAATAGGAATTCCCCTGTTTTGTTTTACTAAGTGGAAATTATATTTGTTCTAGGTGAGACTAAGATAGCTCATGTGATTTAAGAGGAATTTCTGTCATCTACTTTAATTCTTAATATTATGTTAAATAAATCAGTGTTGATTTTCAGAAGACAAACTAGTTTATAAGAATTTGTTTTGTTTTGAGAAATATTGTAGATTAAATGAAATTTCACAAAACTATAAGTTTTTCTCCTGTCATTCAGGGATATGTGCTTCATATGGTTACTACTGCAGCAGAATGGTCTATGTCATTTTCCTTCTTTGGTTTTTTTCTGACTTACATTCGTGATTTTCAGGTAAGAAAACACAGTCTTGGATTTATAGTCAAACTTCCTTCGGTGGAGTAAGAGAACATTTCATTGGAAACTGTTCAAAATCTGGCACCATAAATAATAAACAGAAGATACCTTCCCTGGTGTAATTGTTTGAGTTTGGGGAAGTGATGTATTGCTAATGAGGTTCAGCCTCAAAACTGGAAATGAAAACATACTTGAAGAAATTCTTTTGTAGAATTTTCATACACTCTATACATTTACATAGACCATCCTCAACCTTTAGTTTCACTGATTCTTCGAGAAAAACAGGAAACTTTCTGATGAGAAAAGCTTTGTTTTTCTCGATCACTTGATAACTTTTTTAGGAAAATAGCACTCTCATTCTTGTTACTCATTAGATGGATTTATATCTCTAATCACAGAAATTCTATAGAACTTACTAGAGAGGAAGTTACTCTTTCTTTAAGGAGCAAACTTCTCTATATAATTTTCTTTTTTGTTCTGTTCCAGAAAATTTCTTTACGGGTGGAAACCAATTTACATGGATTAACCCTCTATGATACTGCTCCTTGCCCTGTTATTGATGAACGAACACGACTACTTTCCAGAGATTTTTAATGAAAGTGTAAAATATTTCTGTACTGATTATGATTCTCAGGGATGGAGAAAAGGTTCAGAAAAGTAACTTACTACCCTCTGAAATTTTCAACCAATTAATCAAGACTGACAGTGACATTGATGAATCCTGATAATCAGGAGACATGAAATAAGCCATTTGATAAATCATTTAAAGGATATAATCAAGAGGACTATTTAAAAACATTTATACCTATACTTTTTTATCCCAGGAAATAAAATCAAAGGACTATAGCATTGTAGTTTTTTCTACTTTATTTACAAGAAACATCCTGAAGTGCACCARTCTATACAACCCAGCCTTTCACATTTGTAAGTCACTATAAAAATGTTTTGATAGCACTTTTATGAGAGACATTTTCCATGTTTCCAAAATAGTAAGTATTCGTTAATAAATCATTTAGAATTGGGCTTTAAAGTTTGGAGTTTTGTCACATTAATACATTTATTATAGTGTTTAAAATGTTGAAAAAATATTTTTTTTGGAATCCACCTATAAATGGAAGCAGACGTGATGTTTTTTTAATGGCTTAAACTTTGCACAAGAGATTGTGTAGGAATTGATTTGATTTTGTCCACAAGGCCAGATACTATGCCGATTTATCACACATGCTTGCAATAGTTTTATGAAGCCTAGTCTCTGATATGAGATTTTTAATAACCAGTGATTGAGTGAGGTAACTAGTAAATTTACTTCTGTCATGTTTTACATAAAACAAGAGTTTGTATTTATAAACAAGGCTAGGCAGTTTGTAATAGCAGATATCATTACTATCAAAAGTCACCCCAGATTATAATTACTAGTAAAAGTAGTCATGACAGGTAAATATTGAGCCTGGTTAATGGAATGTGACCATTTTAGAATTTATACTAAGAACGAACTAAGAAATCAAAAGGCAAAAACTTAGGTACAAAATAATAGTGATTTTCATCTATTAAAACAATTTTCTCTTTTGTCATGCAAGTGATTATATAGTTTCTATTTGAATTTCTTATTTGGGCAGGTAAAGAATGCTTTACAGATCCCTGGTGAGATTAAAGGGGAAAAAATGTTCTGGTGTTCCTAGTGGCAAACTGGTTTGCAAAAGAATCTTTTGAAGAAGATTAACAAGATTTATTATATTTTTAGAAGAGATGCTTCCAATGCCAGAAGAAGAAATGGTGAAATGGTTTAAAATGTTAAGAAAGAGCAGTCTAAGGGAAAGTGCTTATGTGATGGAACTAGAGACCATGATTATAAATAAGTCKCTAAAGAAATCAGTAAATAATATTTCTAAAAACATTTGTGGACTAATAATGAGGAAAATGGGAGAAAATAATATTTATCTATTATCAAGAAATGTGAACATGGGAAGAATTCAACAAATGTTGATTGATTAAGTGTTGTCATTACTAGAAAAATTGGATACAAATCACAAAAAGATATCATGTCTTTGAAAATCATGGTGCCACCATACCTGGGAAGTATCATCCAGTCTAGATTGCTACAATTCAAGCAAACTCTTAATTCTAATTATGAAGAATCCACATTATGATGAGAAGAAATTGATGGAATCAGAGCTCAAAAAACTGTAAATTATGTGTGGCAAAGGTGGCTCAGGAACTAACATGGACTTGTTTGTCCATTCTAGAATGTCAGGATTAGAGATACAAACATTAACAAAATGGTTTTAAGACAAATAGTACTTGGATAGAATTTAAATTCATTTAGTTAACTTTTACCCTTAGAAATAACATGGGCTGAAAATATTAATAGATTTTAAAAAAGTCAAGATATTTGAAATGTATATTCACCCCTAAGTTTAAGGCTGAAGTCAAGGAAGACAACCATGCTCTCCTTCAATTATACTTTTCCTCTACTGTCAAGTGCAATAGCTTGGACGAACAGGTAAGACATTTCTGTTTAATTCAATCAACATTATTTTTTGTTGAATGTTTGAGCTTTCAGAGTAAGATGTTGTAAGGTAACAATTTGCAGGTATTGCAAACKAATAGTGAAAAATATATTTCCTTTTTGTCTTGGGTACACAAGAAGACAATGTTTTCTAGCATCCCTTGCAATTAATTATAGGCATGAGAGTGTATTTTAGAAAGTGGAGTGGATATGTTTACTATTTTTATATTCAGGTTTTGAGAAACAGGAGATGTTCCCACCCAGTTTTTCTCTTTGTATGTTGAATATTGATGTCGACAAGATTGTAAGATATGGGAGAATCACAAGGTAGAAGGAGCCCAAAATAGTTCACTTTTGGTCAGATTTCAGAAAATCAACTTGATATATAATTTAGAAACTTCATTTCCATCCAAATTACTAAGATTATATTGCATATTGCTGAAATGTGTTATATTTTGTGGGTGCTATTGCTGGAATGATGTCATGTGTTGTGGGTGCTCAATAAATGTGTGAAAGAGAAAGTTGACATTTCCTGTATCTTCTGCAGTGTCCAGTACAGATTCCCTGCAAACTAAAATCTCAATAAATATTGGCTTATTAGTACTCTGTAAATCTCATTATGTACATCTTATCTGTTTTCAAACAGTCAAAGCRCTGGTTTTAGCAAAGGTATTCTCATTTATAAGGAAGGAAAAAAAATACAGAATAGACCTTAAAAAAGGAAAAATCTTTGTGAGGTGTTGTAGGTCTTAAAAGTAGGTGATATGTCTGAAAGCCAAGAATAGGAATAGATATCAAAGAGAATATCCTGGATACCTAAAATATGCAATTGTGATATAATGCAATGAGAAATGTATAATTTAGAACCCTGACAGTGCAGTTGAAAAGTGCAAAAACTCTACTAGAATTTCACCAGAGCTCAAATTTCAGTTCCTACTGAGAAATTCTGTCCATTACTCAGAATATATTTGAAGGGAATGATAAAGTGAATCAAACTATCACTGCAGTAAAGCCCAGCTCTTCCTCAATGGCAAATCAGATTAATTCAGCCTTCCACTCTAGGAGTCTGACTAAGGAAAGGCATAGCCTTTTCTGTAGATAACCATTATTTCTTTTCATACCTACTGTCCTTTTATAGAAAATATCCTGCGCATGGTAAGAAATTATAAGACTTGCGGAGGAGTAAAAATTTGATCCAGAAAGATAACAGTCAATACAAGCAATCTTGAAAATTACCAGGTGGTTTGAATTATCAGGGGTTGATAACAATAATAAAAGGTATGAATAATTGAGGATTTTAGCAGAGATATGGAAATAAAAAAGTAGAAGCAATGCTAGAATATGATCTATGACAACATGGATCAATAAACTTAAAGACAGGACAACTGAAAGCATACAAAGTAAAAATCAAGAAGGAAAGGAGTGAAAATAAGAAGAATATCAGATTTGAAAGAAAAAATCAAGTGGCCTACCACTTGGTATAAAAGAAAAGTTTGAAGACATCTTAACCAAGGACTCCTTTGAAATTGATGGAAATTAACAGAGAAAAATCAACAAAATTGAGAATGAATTTTTGCCAGGTATGTAGTGCACACCTGCCATCCCAGCAACTTGGGAAGCTAAGATAGGATTGCAAGTTCAAGGCCAACCTCAGCAACCTAGTGAGGCCCTAAACAACTTAGTGAGACCCTATATCAAAATAAATAAAAAGGGCTGCAGATGTGGCCGAGTAGTTATGTACCTCTAGGTTCAATCCCCAGTACAAAAAAAAAAAAGTGAATTTTAAAAAAATTGATAAATACCTTACAAAACTGATATACTGGCCTGAATAGTATCTCTCTCCAAATCCATGTTCACCTAAAAACTTCACAGTGTGACCTTATTCAGAAATAGGGTTTTTATAGATATAAATAGTTCATACTATATAAAGCTGGACCCTAAATCCAATGATTGGGGTCTTTATAAGTCCACATGAAGACATGGGCATAGAAGGACAGCYATGCAACAATGGAGGGAGATACTGGAGTGATGGAATTACAAGCCTGGGAATGTCAAAGATTGCCTGCAACCAGACCTTTCAGAGGGGAACTTGATTTTGGATTGCTCACCTCCAGAATTATGAGAGAATACATTTCTGTTTTAAGTCACTCAGTTTATGATCATCTGTAGTGGCAGGAAACTAAGAAAAATGATCAAGTTAAAAAGAGAAAACATCAATTGCTTACATCAAGAATGAAAATGAGGACATCATTATAGAGCCTGTTGATATTAAAGACAATAGAAGAGCATGTTATAAACAACTTTATGCCAATAGATTTAGTAAATTAAATTGACATTTAAATATCCTTAAAAACACAACTTATCAAAAATGATGTAAGAAACAGAAAGATCTAAAAATAAATATTGAATTGGGAATCCCAAACCTTGACAAAAAGAAAACTCCATGTTCTGATGACTTCAGTGGAGAAGTCTATCAAATATTTAGAAGTGTTACTAAGCTCTGCACAAACTCTTTCAAAAAGTAGAAAACAAACTTGTTTTATGAAGCCAGGATAAATCCAGTAACAAATCTTGGATAAAATATTAACAATAAAAGAAAAATCAGTATCTTTTGAGAAAATTTTGGCAAAACATTTAAAGGAAATAGATTTTGACAATGTAATATCTCTCTCTCTCTCTCTCTCTCTCTCACACACACACACACACATATACACACACACACACATATACACACACACAGTCACACATTAAGACCAAGTAGAGTTTAACTTAGTAGAGACATTTGAAAAAAATAAAAGATTTTATTTGCTTAAAATCAAAATCACTTGTAAAAATTGTTGGGGAAACAGATATTCCCATAGTACAAAAGGGTTAATGAATAGATTATTTGTATAGTTCAGATGGAAAACATGCCTTTATATTGATTTGAGAGGACTAGTTTGCATCACTTTAACCAAGTATATTCATCCTTTTTGTTGCTTTAACAAAATACTTGAGGCTAAGTATTTTGAAAAGAAAATAGATATATTTGGCTCAGTTTTGGAGACAGAAAATTCAAGATCAGGTGGCTCCATCTGTTCATTCTGTGGCAAAGTCTCCTTGACTGCCTCATAAAATGTGGAGAAACCAAAGGAACTGGCTATATTCAGAAAGGGTCAAGTGAATAGGGTGGCTTTGTTTTATAACCTTCAGGGAACTACATTAATGCCTTCCAAGGATTTTGGATCTTTTAAAGCTTTCAACACCACCACACTACCAGCCTGGAGCYAAGCTTTGAGGACGTGTCCCTCTGGGGGACAAAATATATCCAAATTATACCACTAAGGGATCCAGTTGAGTCTCACTAAAATTGGGATAAATGGGCAAAATAAGTGCCCCATGATGGGATGTGCTAGCRTCACCTATTAGACCTTCTTATAAATATTTATTAATCTGTGCATAATGAATTTATTGGATCAAATTTTATTTTACCAGAAATACTAAGAGAAAAAAGTTAAATGAAGCAATGAAGTTAAAGACACATTCTTAATGTGGTATTTTAAACAAAGCAACTAGCATAGT